TCTGAAGATTAGACCAAATGAGCCAAGCAATAGCAAAAATTAGTGGGGTTTTACACTCAGTTTATTGGCTGGACAAGTGGCAAGACTGACACAGAGGGAAAACCCAGGGCAGCTGAGAACTGGGAAGTGAGAAGGTCTTTGAGGCTAATTCCTTCTGTAGTAATGAGATATAAGAAGAGATTACTTGCCTTGATACCAGGTACTGACAACAGATGCGTTCCTGAGGAGCTGGCAGCTGTGTAATTTATGGCAGCCTAAAAGTACTCTGGAACTCACAGGGTTTTGGGACAGTATCTTACAAAGCAGTTGGCAATCAGGTGATGAAATCATAGTATGTGATGTAAGGTTTTATCACAACTCCACACAATGTATCACACAGATAGAGTTTCTACATCTATTTCATGACCTAAAGATCACCACTTACACTGTATTTTTGTTGACATTATCTTCACTGAGACATAAAGTAAGTCCTTCCTCACTGATCCCTCCCCTTTATCCTCTGCAACAGCAAAATAAAATCAGGAACCATTAACTCAAGTCCTTGCTTAAGCAAACTGTTTGGACTTCAGCAATCTTACTTAAAACTGTTGCAATCACATAACGAAGAACAAACTAATTTTTGCAACTGACCTGAAATTCTATTTCTTCAATAATGAAGATTTGAGATCCACTGACTGCTGATCAGATACAAGACATGAAAAGCAACATGCAGGCATCTTTCCGTGATTCCTATCATGACATAGGGGAACATAAAAATCAAAGTCTGTTTTTGCAGTACTACTGCAAACAGGCAAAATACTTCAGAAATTCACCTTGCCACCTACAAATTCTGAAAGTTTTCTATTAGTGAGATACAGGTTATTATTTCTTTCCCCTCATGCTTCCAAGTTTCCACTGTAAACAAATCAAAACCCCCCTTCTACTAATGCCGTCTCCACTGTAACAAATCTTACATGTTTTGAACGTTCTGACTGTAATCTTCTGGAAAATTTAATATTTAGACAATGATGGCAGAGCATGTGTAATTAAAAAGTAATAATGGAATAATACATCCATCCAACATTTATCATAATAAGCATTATGGGAGAACAATAAGCCCAAATAATGTTTCAGAAAAGCTAAATTTCAAGGAATTAAGATACTATAGTACGAAGTTATGGCCAAAAATACTGTATTTTTAAACAGCAATATTTTTGAGGGGCAGTAACTGTACAATATTAGTTTTCAAAAACCCTATTTCTGTCCCTCAAACAGCACACAATACATGCATTTAAATGACACTTTAAGAACAGCAAATATGATCTTTATTTTTAAATACTGTTTAAAAACATATCTGACACCCCACCCTGAAGAAAAAAAAACTGGTCAAATAAGGATTTCCTGTAGCACAGTAAATGAGGAATTCAGCAACAGACTTCATCTTAGACTATTTTGAGAGAAAAAACTCAAACCTAACAGATTTACAGTAAGATTGACCTGGCTGACTTTCCATTTTTCACACTGTACTCAAAATCTCCCTCTACTCCATTCTTCTGTGCAGCATGGCTACTGTCAAAAAGCTTAAGGGAAACTTACAGTAAAATCCCTTTACCTAGCTAAAGAGTGAGCCTCAATGCATTGTTTACAGAAATGTTTCTGGTTTGACTGATGAAACTCAAAACGTTATGGCTAACCAAGAGCCAAGAAAGAGGAAATATCAGTAGCTCCTCTTAAAACTAAACATATGGTTTTGCAAGATCCCCACTAAACTCACAAACTGGACAGGGACAGATGGCTTTACATGTTTAATGCATTTTAGAATTTATGGTTTATGTCAGAAGAGGGACTGTATTTACAAAAGTGTGAATTTCTAAAAACCATAGTTAATTACCTACACCACGACATTTTAACTTCCTAACTTATGACAGCCTCCCTAAAACATTTACTCTACTGGTCTCTTAGCTAGAGGTAGGTCATTTTTAGGCCTTGTTAATATGCTGTGCACACTTCATTAGTTCACTAATATATTAGTCTGCAGGACTACCATGCACAGAGCTCCAAGAACAGCAGCACATATAATAAATTAATTGCCTAAATTTTATTTTTTCACGTGGGTTAACATGTCTTTATTTTCTCCTGGTATTCCATTCTTTTGGGAAGGATGTGTTAACAAGGAAAGGGTCATGAGGCTGAATAATCTGAAAGCCTCCTGAACCTTTCAAAGAAATGCTGGGAGTCCAGCAATGTCTTCATATGCAGCCCTTTCTCCCCATTTAGAGTTTTAGCAAATCATGCAGTCAGTTCTGACTGATATCCAGCATAAAGAGTCTCTTCTCCACTTTCAAACTTTAAAAAGTGACTCATAATCATGTGGCAGTATGATTAAAAACTACAGTCCATACACCTTGACAATCAAAAGAGTCTGAATTATAAAAAGCAAACTGCCCTTATAGCTGCATCATCCTATATATGCAAGGACAGTGCCAGTTAATTTGTGAAAAAGGCAAGTTTAAAGTTTCTGTAAAACACGTATTACAGCTTTCTTGTGCTAGTGAACATCTAGAATACACAGGTTCCCAAGACGTTTTCCTTCTCCCCCATATATGACATTCAAAGAAATCACTTAATTTTGGCAAAGTTAAAAGGGTTTCTGTCTCGGTATTTCTGCCTTAGCTTCGTATTAGAGGCACAAACTTCTGGACTCAAGCACTGTAAGGCATAGTAGAAACCACCGATTAAAACAACAGCACCACTACCACAACTGAATACACTGCAGGTGGGAACAGCTGCATCATTTAAAAAGGAAATGTTTTTGTAAACTGTCACACTGCAATGCTGTGTTAGGTGATTTATGTAAAGCTTGCCTATTTTTTTTTTTTGTGGTTTTTTTTTTTTTTTTTTCTTCCGGAACATGCTCAAATGATCTAAACATTGCTACAAATTTGACTTATCTAAACCATACCATAAGTAGCCCAGTGGCACACACTCTTAAAAACTTATGCAATCATAATGTAACTATAAAGCATGAGTAAACCTCTGTTTTGTTTTTATACAAAACATAGAACCACATTTCCTTCTCCCTCACCCAATATCCCATAACAAAACAAAACAAACTAAAATCCCCAAACAAACCCAAACCTTAGTAAGACACCACCGTTTGGGGTTTTTTTGTTTGTCTGGGTTGGGTGTTCTCTGTGTGTGTGGGGGGTGTTGTTTTTTTTGTTTGTTTTTTCCTTTTTTGGCTACAGTTCCATTTATAGCACTAATCCCAGTATGGACAATGTATTCCTAAATTAAAAGAAGGGGTACTATCAACAGTGGAACTGTGCAAACAGAAACTCTGCTGCATTTATAGTAAGATCAGGACCAATTTTGTTATGCTGTATATGTAGAGTCACTGCTTTGATCCCCTATTCAGAATGTCAGTGTCATTTTTTATAACCTAGATATAACTGCTTTAGCTTTATTAAGTAAAATGCTTTAACTCATTAAAATCATTAAAAATAGTGACTTTCTGGATGTTGTTGTTGTATTTAAGTTTTCTGCAGTTTCTGAGAAGACTGATTGTTGATGTTTTGTATTTTTTCATGATATTTTTAGGGTAACAGCATACACTCATTAGTACTGCTGTACAATGATTTTGAAATATCTCTAAATTTACTTTTCTAATAAAGCTGATTAGAAAAGTAAAAGTAACCTAATGTGAATCTGACAAATATAAATTAAATTTATATCTAAAAAAGCTTATGCTCCAATCCTAGACATAACAACATGAGTTCTAGTAAGACTGGTTTCTACATCTATATAAAGCCCTGACAAGATTTAAGCATTATTCTGAATGCAATTGGCCTCTGACTTGGTGTCTCCAATTTAGTTCTACTCAGGAATGTGCAAATGATTTTATACAGCACGATGCTAGTACCGCTCTCTACTACAGTAACTTTTTTTTTTTGTAAATAAAAACAACAACAAATCCCTAGTCAGAAATAAACTGACAAAATTTACATTCTTCTCTCTTAAAAAAGTAAATAAAATAACATTATTTAAAATGTGAATTAGCTATAAGACATACAATACAATTACATAGATACATATCAATACAGCACATTCAATTTGCAAAAATTAATGATTACAAAGCCAATATGGATGCCACCATATATATATATAGATGTATGTACAATGATTATAACATTCATAATTGCACTATACCTACAACCAGTTTTAAATTACAAGGTGTTTTAAGAGGGAGCAAAAAATAACAACTGTTCTTATTATTGTTGGTTTAGATTTGGGAGGATTAAGGATTAAAAAAGGTCTTATTAGTATTTATTGTTCAACTTCAGTGATTAATAAGCCATTCTTTTTTCCACCTCCCATCTGCTGCTATGAGGCAGCAACTTCTGTGTCAAGTGCACTCTAGTGCTACTTGTCATTTCAGATAATCAACCCAATTATATGTCTGAGCTTTGAGTTTTCTATTGCTTGCTAGCAATCGTGCACCTGGTCAAAAAACACCTTTCAATTTAAGCTGCAGAATAAAGGATCATCACTGTGTGCTGCATTTTTTGTTGTTAAGAAAATTGCACATTTAAATTTCAAGAATGATTTTGTTTCATTTACATTAATAAATCTTTTCTAAAGAATGTTGAGAGAGGCTATTTTGCATGAAAGCCTATTAAATGTCTGTAAATCAGTTAGTGAACACGCAACCTTATCGAGAAAGGTTCCTGAATGTGATTTCTCATCAGTGATTTCTTGTTATACAGCTAAAGGTGCCTTGATATTATTAAATAAAGCAATCTCATGCCATACCTGGCATAAGGATTTAAACTGTCTTTAAATTAGTAGACCACACGCATGTGCATGGTGCACCTTGTAGCATATTCACTCACACTGTTGGTTTTGGCATTAGAAAATAGAACAATTTATAAAAAAGGGAACATGAGAGCTGAAACTATGTTTGTTTATCATTTGGCAGTTGACTCAATCAGGTCAGTTCCCAACCCATCAGTTTGGCGTATTGTTTTTATAAAAAGCCAGATTTGGCAACATTAATATTATACAATAAAAATAATTTTTCTGTTGTGGAAAAAGAACACTTAAAAAAGCTCTAACTTAAGAAAAAATCCTGCACAACTGAAAAAAAAAACCAAACCACCCCACTGTTTCAGGCTGTAGCCACTGGGGAAGATGTAGTGTCTATGACATTTCTATTTGGCATTTATGAATCAAAGAAGAAAAAGAAATGGCACATGGCAAACAAAAGGATTCTAACAAACTACACATATACATCCCAGGTGTGTCTTAATTATGTCATGACTGTCTTCTATGCATCTTTCTGAATTGTGAAAATATGGTTAAATTTAGTATCTTATATAACTGTAATTCTATTTTGCAATTCAAATATTCTAGTCCCAAAACTGAAGACAGAATTAAGACACCCCTGTCAAGAATTTAAAAATCACAGTATCAATACTTTTGATCCTTCAGATAAGTACATACTATAAAATTAGAATGACTGATGATTTCAATTCATATGATAGTATTTTCCTGACCAAATAATTCAACAGAAAACATTCCACCCAGGAATGCAGGGGAAAAAAAAGGCCACTGTACCTTGTAAAAGATAAGAGGGAGAGGAAAGAGGGAGAGAGAAAGGGTCAGGGAAAGAGGAAACCAGCTTGATTTTGCTTCATTAGCAAAACCTGCTATTCTTTGTAATGTATGACTGAGAATTTAAAACACATTGAGTCACAAGGTTTTGCCTAAAAAATGAGGAATGTGCTATGAATGTACTTCAGCATCTTTTGTTTTTCCTCCATATAGTTTAAATTAAAATCATAATATTAACTACAAACTCTGTGGACATTCACAGAGTCCAGGCCAGCAATAAATTAGTATTATGCAAATTGTTTTCACAGATAATACAGTCCCTCTTGTATATCTTCAATCACACAAATGTAGTTTCTGAGGGCCTCCTAGACACAGTTAGACCAGGTTGTACTCCTTCAGGTTTAACTGTAGGATTGTGTCCTTGACAGCAGCAAAGACAAAGCGGATATTCTCTGTGTCTGTAGCACATGTGAAGTGGGAGTATATAATTTTGTCACTGTCTGGGTTCAGGTCTACAAACATCTTCAGGATGAACTCTCGTGCCGCTTGTGCATCCCGCTGTGGTCCTGATAATTAGGAAGAGAAAGTCACTTTTCTTAAAGACAGTTCAGTACTTGAACCTCTTTTAACACAAAACAAGGAAGACTCAGTCTTATAGTCCTCATGTAAGAGGGCTAATCATCATACACTAGCTGCTTTCTTCCTGGTAGGAACTATGGAAAATAAAGATGGAAGGAAATTTCATAAATTCTATCAAGTTAGAGCTATCATGTCAAAGGTGCTCTTTTGCTGATGACAATCCTCTTTCTTTGATAACACTTAAAACAGGCAACTTAAAACTGCACAGAATGAAAACAGAGAAATTAGCTACACTAGTAAATCTTTTAAAAAATGTTAACAGAATTGGTAAATGTTCAGTCTACATGAACTATATTTAAATTATAATTCAGTTATTTTAGCATGGTAACACTTACTAGTTTTATAAGTATTTTAATAGGTAGTGTAATGAAGTTAGATCCTGAACTGTTCTGACACTGTTACCATCAGAATTTATTTTAGTGATAACAAAATACACATGCTCTCCAGCTGAAGCTGTTTGATTGCAAAAGGCTCATGTTCTAACAAATCACTTGTTATCTAAATTATGTATGATAATAATCCTATCAGATCTAAATTAAGGTTGTAATTCTCAGAAGGACAGAGGCTAAACCACATGTTCAGCTTTACAGAAGAGAGAAGGTAAAGTAATGACTTCCAGCCTGGAACAGTCAGGATTCATTTACATTCACAGCCAAAAGAGCAGTGCAAAAGCAAGAACATAAGACACAAGCTGTTGAATTATGTTCTGTTATTCCAAACTACTTCCAAAGGCCATTATTCCTTTGCTCTCCTATTTCTGGAAGTTGTGTTTCTACAGAACATGCATGTTTTCTGTGCTGCTTCCTCCTGTTCTCTTCCTTAGTCCTGGTAATATACCCGCACTCAACCTTTGTAGGTAGCTCTGTCCTTCAGTGCTTATGGAATCTGTACTCTGAGGGTTAGCACATGCCCACATAGTTTTCAACTGCATGATAACCTATCTCTAATACTTCAAGATTACAACTGCTAACATTCCAAATTGCGTAACTATAAAATCTATGTAGGGAATGCACAGAAGAGAAATCATGTACTTTCTGGTGTGCTGCAAATGCATGTAGAGGTATGCACATGGACACATATACACATATATGAACATACATACACATATACAGATAACATATTTCCTGAGATTTGGGGATGTAAACAGATCATAAGCTCTCCAGGAGACTGTTCAATGCTTCTACAGCTTCTAACACACAACAGACTCTAGCCTTTGGCTTGGTCACCCAGCTCTATAGAAAGAGCAGCAATGGTAAGTCTCACACTACCATGACTAAATTTGCAATATTTGTGAAGGAAACTCTTAAGACTTTCAAAGATACTGATTTCTTCAAAGTAAATCACTTACTATTTTAAACAACCTCCTAGAATTTTCAGCTTCATAGTAGCTAGACTCAGCCCTCTCTCAAAGACTATATCCAAACTTACTTATCTAAACAGATCTCTGCTGACTATCATGTAATTTAAATTTGTGTTTGTCTGAAGTTCAAGAATGGAAAACTCAGGTTTGAAAGTACATTTAATACCTCAGGAATTCAGAAAAAAATTGAATGAGTCAATGTTGAATTTAGACTGCAGAGTGGTTGTGATCTGCAGACTGTTCACCCTCACTTCCCCTTAACAGGAATACTTTCCATATTTGAACGTAAGAGATTTACTCTTTTATTCAGCTTTGAAATACGCTATTCACTCTTTGGTGGGACAGAAGACATTCATTTATTTGTTTTTAAATAGGAGAATTTAGTTGTTTAGACCCTTAATTATATCAGTTTGATTTTTCTCTGTTACCAAGGCTACCACTCAGTTACCTCACAATAGTTAGGTTTTTACCACAGGAAAACTTTCTTGAAGTACAGGTTTAGTAGAAACTGCTGTACAATCCACATAACTTTTTACAGACAAGCATATTAAGCTTCACATAAATAATGAAAAACTGAAATACAGGAAACAAAGAGGTACAATAAAAGGTTGGAAGGAGTGGTACTGGTTTTTCTGAGTGGCACATGGAATTTTTTTTTTTTTTTTTTTAGCTTTTATACTTCAGTCTAAACCTTCACCTCAATTTTTAAAATGAAATCCTAGCAATCTATAAAATAATCTGTAAAATCCCACAAAAGTTCAATCACATTTTTAAAATGTAGATTATTAAAAATTGCAAAGCAGTTGGTATTTTTTTAGGTGTAAAATATATTAAATTATCTATGTGTCTAGCATTTGGACAAGGCTATTACAATTCTCATTACTGCAGTGCAAATAGAACATGAGCTCTGATGTCTTTATACTTACCATCATACTCTGGAAAATAATCAACTAGGTGGGAATACATAATTTTCTCCTCTAAGAGATCTTTTTTATTTAAGAACAGAATGACTGAAGAGTTCTGGAACCATGGATATGTGATAATTGTCCTAAAGAGTGCTTTGCTTTCTTCCATTCGATTCTGGAATAGAAAAGAGAGTGAAATTTTGGTGGACATGAAAATGCTTTTTTAAAAAATAAATTAATGCAATTTCACTTTATTTGGTAAATTTATCCATTTCATGTTTTGCATCTTCCTACCAGTATGTAAGTTTCACATAATTAAATTACAATTAAAAGGCAAGAAGTTAATTAAATATGCAGGCATGTTTTTGCAAATTCAACTGCTCAAGTGTAAGTGTTCTTTAAAACACAGGCTATGTACATGAAAGCTATAACAGGTGTATTTGTAAAGTCTCAGTATGCACAGCTATGATCAGATCAGCTTTAAAATAGCTGCAAGTAAATTTGGAACCTGAGAACTGTTTGTCAACAGCAAAATCTTAATCTGTGAATTGCTATTTTTTTTCTATCATTGGGTTAGCCTTTAATTACTTAACTGCTCCTGAAAATACTTTGCATTATAGCTGAAATGTTAAGTGAAGCTACAGTTCTATTTGCAACATTTTTCTGTCGCTGTAAAATTAAATTAGAATTTGGTAACAGTTCTGAGGAACTGTTACGCTAACATGATGTTGTTAGTGCAGAGAACAGATGGAGCTCAAAACAAAGGAATTACCTTACTCTTTTTATTTAAAGCTGCAGCCCCCTTAAAAATACTGCTTCACCACCAAACTGTGCTCCAGAGAACAGCAGAAGGTGGATCACAGAATCATAGATAACTGTAAGTAAATCTTTACTTGCACTGATTTGCATTTTAAAGAGACCAACATGAACGTGAACAGGAACTTCAAACCAAACAAAAATAACAAAAAAACCAACCACCCAAAACAAAATCCAAAACCAAAAAACAATCCCGAAAGAAACCAACAAACAAAACAAACAAACAAAAAAACAAATAAAAAACCAAACAAAAAAATAACTGTTTTGTAGCAGAAGATTATCTGGTATGGGGTGTCCAAATATATTGATAGATTTGAGAAACTAATGCAAAGGAGTAATACCTTTGCTTTCTTGCAGTGAGCAATAACTCACATTGATTTTCAATGGTGCCAGGATTTCATTCAGAAAAGAGAAAAACCAAAATGTCAAGAAAGCTGAGCATAAAACCTAAGTCCTGAGTCTAACTGTTAATCAGACTATTTTCTTCTCAACATTCCAGATAAACTTCTTTCTCTAAACAAGGCATTACAGAATAGCAATGGGAACTAGACAGGATAGCTTTCACTTTCTCAGCTTGATGCAAAGGCAATGTAAACTTACAACTACTGTTTAGATTATATTTACCTAATTACCTAAACTAATTAACGCTTGGTTTCTTCTAATGTGACACTTAAAAGGTAGAAAAGCAATAGCAGCATTCTTTCACAGTAAATTTGTAAGCTAACGAAAACCTTGCAGTAAGCAAAGTGCACACCAAACACAAAGAAACACAAAGAAATTATTTATCTGAAGTAAATGTTCCTGTTTTTCACAAAAAACCTCGATACAACAGTCTTATTTTCATCTATAACTCTGTTGGGTTGTTTTTTTTCCCACATATGTAACACAGAATTGCGAAGACAAATCTGTTTGGACACATTTATGACCCTTCCTCTAGGAAAGCTCAAGAAAACTGTCATCCCAACATTGCTACTGAACCCAGAATACATTTTCATTTTCTATTTTAAAGGTATACCAACAAGTCAAAGCAGAAAAAGCATGCAGACTAAAGCGACAGTGATACATGCTTAAAATTTCTGCCATGCCATCAGATAAAAAATTAAGTACTGCGTACCATAAAAATACCAGGAGACCTACAAAAATGAAGAAAAAAATATTGTGTCTCCAATGTAAGAAGAGTATGCTTGCATTATATACTAATGATGAATTCTGTATAATATGAATTGCATTCCAGAGAGTAACTTTTTTACAAATTTATAAATGTCTCTCAAGTCCTTTGAAACTTGAATTGAGGAATCTGACTTAAACCTCTCCTTGCTGACAGATCTCCTAAGGATTCCACTCAGATGAGATGAAGCAGGTTTTCATGACTTCAAAGAATAGTTCAAGTAATTAAAAATCAGTCTGGGATGCCAAAAAAGGATACTGTTAAGAAGGCAGTATAAAAGAGCAGAAAAAAATTAATGTTATATCAAAAGAAATAATTACAACCTTCAGGAATTTTCCAAAGTGGCCAGTATATGCAGTCTAACTGAAAGAAACTCACCTGCTTCAGAAAAAATACATAGTTCAGGATGTCAGTAAGTCAATAAAACACTACCAGATTATTTCACCCTCATTCACTTCATTGTATTGTTTAGTATAATTTCATACAGAAGCCACTTGCATCCAAGTGTCATCCAGTTAACTGTACTTCCAGAAAGACCCAGGCTAAGTCTGAGTCTATTCCTGATTCTAAGAGAACAGGCTTTGAAGAAGCAACAGACTGTTGCCCTTGCTGATTTTGTATTATATTAGCCAGTAATAAACAAAATTAACTGAAATTCAGAGACTTGTGTGAAATTATAAAAAATGAACATTATATTGCCAGAGCCCACTGAAGTAGAATTACTTCTTATGGTATAAGGATCTTGTCCTGTATTGTTGTATCAGATGAGACTATTGGGAATGTAAGACAGTAAGGTCTGTGCACCAAATGGTAGCTCTGAGGAACACTACCTTGGCACAGGGATTATCTCAGAGTGGAACCACCACAGAACGGCCCTTATGCACCTCCATTTGCAGAATGAAGCGAACAGCAGGGATTAAGACATCAAGAAGGCTGAAATCACGTTTTCTAAGGAGCTGGCAAAAGATGGCAAGCTGTCTAAATCAGTTAAATAAAAGGTTACTCTCCTTAAAATCCGTAACTGACAGGTCTATGAATTTTCATGATCCTTCTCAAGGAAAAAAAAAAACCTACACACAGAATGCTATGTTCTGTCCGTGTAACAGAACCATGGAAAAAAGACTTAGGGTATCATTGTTTATCTCCTCTGAACATATGTCACATTGCAACACTCCACTTCAGAGTGTTCAATTCAGAGAAGACAGAGATAATAAGATTTTAATTTTAAATCTAAATTTTAAAAGATCAGATCAGTTAATTCAAGGGATTCAATACAAATTTCATATAATTTGTATATTTAACAAGTGTCTTTCAAAGCTTCCTAAAGATACTGATCAAGTACCAAGTACAATCAGTGGATAAAGAACTGGCTGGATGGCTGCATGCAAGCAGTTGTAGTCAACAGCTCTGTCCAGCTGGAGACCAGTAACGAGTGGTGTTCCTCAGGGATTGGTGTTGGGACCGGTCTTGTTCAACATCTTTGTCGCTGACATGGACAGTGGGATTGAGTGCGCCCTCAGCAAGTTTGCCAATGACACCAAGCTGTGTGGTTCGGTTGATATGCTGCAGGGAAGGAATGCCATCCAGAGGGACCTTGACACACTTGTGAGATGGGCTGATGCCAACTGTATGAAGTTTAACCATGCCAAGTGCAAGGTCCTACACCTGGGTTGCAGCAATCCCAGGCACAGATACAGGTTGGGCAGAGAAAAGATTCAGAGCAGCCCTGCGGAGAAGGACTTGAGGGTGTTGGTTGATGAGAAAATGAACGTGAGCCAGCTTCAGTGTGCACTCGCAGCACAGAAAGCCAACCATATCCTGGGCCGCATGAAAAGGAGCGTGACCAGCAGGTCAAAGGAGATGATCCTGCCCCTTTATTCTGCTCTCATGAGACCTCACTTGGGGTATTGTGTGCAGTTCTGGTGTCCTCAACATCAAAAGAACATGGAAGTGTTGGAACAAGTCCAGAGGAGGGCCATGAGGATGATCAGGGGACTGGAGCACCTCCCTTATGAAGACAGGCTGAGAAAGCTGGGGCTGTTCAGCCTGGAGAAGAGAAGGCTGCATGGAGACCTCTTAGCAGCCTTCCAGTATCTGAAGGGGGCCTATAGGGATGCTGGGGATGGACTCTTCATTAGGGACTGTAGTGATAGGACAAGGGGTGACAGGTTCAAACTTAAACACAGCAAATTTAAATTGGATGTAAGGAAGAAGTTCTTTCCTGTTAGGGTGCTGAGGCACTGGAATGGGTTGCCCAGGGAAGTTGTGAATGCTCCATCCCTGGCAGTGTTCAAGGCCAGGTTTGACAGAAGCTTGGGTGAGATGATTTAGTGTGAGGAGTCCCTGCCCATGGCAGGGGGGTTGGAACTAGATGATCTTAAGGTCCTTTCCAACCCTAACTATTCTATGATTCTATTTGACCCTTGCCTTTAATATGATGCACTCTTATGTATGAAACAGTTTCACATTACAGTGTTTTTACTGGATAGGGACAGGATGACAAGGAGTATAGAAAAAGTTCAGCACTGGGGATCTGACCTTCTGTCAGATGTAATGTGAAGAAAACTTTGCCAAACCAAGCAAGACAGTGCGGCTCTTAGAAGAGAGGACAAGAACAGTGGGGAGCAGGCAGTATTTAACAGTTTGTTCAAGCACTCGCTCTGATTTTATGCACCAGCTCTACTTCACCAAATTGCTTCCAGGAAAATCTTATTTAAACTTCAGTGGCAAAGGCTGGAAAAAGAAACTTGTGAATTACTAATGTACAGAAATGTACAGCTGGAGCTGGCTCAAGGCACTCTTAAGTAGCTGACAGCCGTTCTCAGAAGTGATGCCAACCTTCTCAGCAACTCCCTTCTGACAGCAGCAACAAGCTCACCACGGCACCCCTGACTTTGCAGGCAGCTGGCAGAAGGAAAATGAGCACAGGATCATTGCTTTCACCATCCTTCAAAATCTGCTTGCCTAAGAAACTTCCCTACTCTGCTTGTCTGCAGTCAGTCCTAAATTGCATACTGGTGTTACCAGCCATTACTCCATTTTCCTCCTTATGACATAGAGATGCCAGCATAAAATTCTCCCATTCTCCACACAAACTGCCATAAATACAACTAGACAGAAAACCCACCTTTTGTCACATTTTATATCCAAATGCAAACTCTTCCTCATTTAAAAAAAAGAGTATACTTCTT